CAGGTGTGGAAGTGGTGAGAGAGTGAGGTGGATTCTCTGCAAGTCAGTCTGCATTATAATCCCGCTGGAGTCACCGCGTCTGCCTTCAGCTTGCTGAGGCTCCTAGTGGACATCGTCGAGAGAGACGGTCGAACTGTCGTATCGATCTGCCCACGTAACATTCCCTGTGTCGCCCTGCTGTGGAGCACAGCGTGGACCTTGTCGAAATAAATGGTTGAACTGTCGGAAATGTGTCTCAGTAATCTGGCGCCAGACCAGCTGTTCAAATGAAAAATGATGCGCCTTGCAATACTTGTGGAAGAGGATATTGAGAGATATGCCGATTTGACAAACTTGCCTCAGGAAGTACGTAGACTGAATACGTTGCACTCATCTGGTGGGGATACATACAATTTTATGTCTGAATACGTGAATTCTCTGTTTCCCGAGGTGTTCTTACTAAAATATCTTTTGCCTAACTGAATAGCATTAAGTTTAGTATATGACTTTTACTCCCTTTTCTAGGTCAGAATAGCGATTCTGTTTAAGAGGAAGAAGCGTTGGCATTCCAAGGTATACGACTCTCCAAATCCAACAATTAATGAAACCGCCGTCTTTAAAGAAATGAACTTAGGTGAGTTCAAGGTCAACTAAAGTGTCAGCAAAGAAAGCCGGCTCGAAACGTAGAATTTTCAGGAGCTCACTCAACTTTGTTCACTGACCTACTAACTTTTGGATCTTTTTATTAATCCCCCATTGTCGCAAATTTAAAATGCACCAAAGGTGATTTTGGCTACCCTGACATCAGACTTCGTTTACCCGTTAGCTCTCGGGTTTGGTTTACCGCATAAACTTTGCAGTAGTGCTAGCGCCGACCTGATTTTCACCATTTGAGATTGCTCCCTTTCCAACCGGAGAAGTCTGCCTTTCGATGATTTAAAACAATATTTTGGAAAGGATTAACATGATTTATCCTATTTATTGCATTCCAGATAAATTTAGGGTGATAAATCGATTACCACAAGAATGAAACTCTGATAAGCAGTAATAAGTTGCGTTTTTCCTTTCCCTTGATTCAAGCTTTGGACTCCTTCATCTCCAAAATATATTGAATGGTCTGTGTCATATTAGCTTGGAAATTTAGCAGTTCCAGTGATATACCGTTTACAACTGGGAAAAGGGTTTAAAATTCCGTAATTTCTTTCAGCATTATTTGGTATTCCATGGGGTTCGAGGTCGCACTCTACGGTATGATAAATCTGTCTGTGAGAATGGATTTAGTGTAAGGTGCAAAGATTGTGAATAAACTCAGTATAGGAGGATCTATCAATTTTAACAATAACCTCCCCTTTAAGCCAGTGACTCTGAAGGGGACATAATTTCCTGGAGAGTTACTAAGAGAAGAAAACATTTCGTAGGACGTTTTTCCGTGATGATTTGGTCGGCCGAACATTCATTTTAAGGATTTCATAAAAACGTTGCTCTAAAGGACAGTTTTATGTATGTGACATCGGAACAAACCAACTCCACTGTCGCATTTTTGGTCACATGAAATCCGTTCATTGTGAGTCGACTTAGCAGCAATCACATGAGGACCCAAGGTCAGTAGAGGCTGGAATGGGTGAGCGCAGAGATTAAACAGTAGTATCGGTTGATTATGAGTCGAGGTCGTGGAATCGACGTAGACGCCTGGATGCATACTCGCGCCGTACCAGCTATCTGCACCTGATCCCTACCCAACTAGGGTACGGCAATCTAGAATACTGTGTTTGGAGTATCTATAGCGTAGTACTAAAGCTAATAAAGTTAACGGTAATGGCTATGATCTTCTAGACCCGGTTCCTTAAGAGAAGAAGGAAGGCTTGAGAAGGCCGGATTGGCAGGAACCATTTATTCTGTACAGAAGGATTAGAGCACTGTTAGAAGGAAGTTGCCACTCGGTCTGGTATGGCGTTTGACCTTGAGGGCCGTGTGAGGAGGTAGGGTCATCACAGCGGCCAACCACGCTGCCTGCGTCCGCTCCCGGTCGGGGTGTATTCCAGTGTGTTCATCAGCGCGGAAATTGTCACAAGGGCCAAGAGTGAAAGAGAGAATGCTTTACTTTGAATGGAATACCCAAACATTTTTAGCAAAAAATGGCTCCATTCACGGAGAGCAAGGGATAAGGTAAGTAAGGGGTCATG